AATAGTTACAGCCGATTATGAAAAGTCATTTTGTGAAATTCGCGGAGACCATCTGCAAAGTTCTCCATCAACGCTAGTAGACAGTAAATAAATTCTTATTAGAGGATTTCATTTCTACAAGGAGGGAACCGCTCCTATATCTACAGCAACCAGTGGTTACTATAAATAGTGTAACTTGAGATGAGAAAGCAGAATTCTAGTTGAAAATCCCACACTTTTAGGCTAATAGCCAACTCTCTCTCTCTCAGACTAGTAAGATTTCGGAGCTACGAACCTTCACGTTAAAGATGCCTTCAAGTAAATGTTAGTTGGACAGCATCTCGTGCTTCGGTTTTCTTGGAAGTTGATTGCGATGTGGCCCTAGCCGACGAAAAGGGGGTAATTTCAACCAATTTACCGAAGGAATCAACTTCGAAGTGATGCAGGATGTATAGCTACCGCATCAACTGGATATATTAATAGTAACAATCAAGGTCATTTACGTTTTAGACAACTTCGGAAAGACACGAATGCCGGCGAGTTGTACCCTTGCGACCTGGTTGGGGTGGTTCAGGCAACTTCGCCCATTACCAACTTTATCTGAACTACTAGATGTTCCTTAAGTATTGTATTACGAGAGTTGGGAGCTACCATTTACTATTTTCAAATACTATACTTGTAAGTTGGAGACTAGGGAAAAGCGAGAGGCAGAGTCTGAGAGAACAAGAAGAAAGGATATGTTTCGCGACCATATTGAGTAGTTTATGTTGGGAAGTGCGTGATATGAAAGAAAGTCAGGCCGCAAGCCTCATCGGAACAACAACTTGCCGATTGAGTCAATCTATCGATCGATCTATCGAAGGCTTCTTCTGTCCGTCCGAAGGGGACACACTCCATGAGCACAGCTGAGAGACACAATGGGCACTCTTACTTCTTCAGCTCTCGGTCCATGACATGAACGCATTTGCCCGAATTTGAAGGCATTGCATGTTAGTTGCTGAGATTTTGATATAATACCCTATGGAAAGCTATCTTCCATCACCATTTGAGCTAAGAAAATGGTGTACTGAGAACCGTGACTAAAGGTTCCCCCAAAACCGTTCCTGTGTCTTTAAAGACACATGGTACGCTCAAACACATTGAGGGTGTATGAGACTATCAGCCCCCCAGCTGTCGATGTGTCGTGGTCCCCCCGCCCAAAACTGCACGGGGTCAGAGTACGGGGCCGTGGGAAAGTCGTAATTCCTTGCTACACCGCCCTCACGTTTATGCTAACACCATCCA